ATTTTTGCTGACTTTTTTTTTTTTTTTTAATCCATTTAAACTCCTCCAATTATTGGTTAACTTTTTTTAATTTCATATTTATGTCCCTACTTTGCATTCTTCTAACTGCAACCACAGCTGAGGATTTCACAGCCAATATAGTAATAAATGCAACTGGACTTAAGTTTTTCACCAAGTGATTTTCAATTTTTCCTAGAGGAAAATTAGATGCATAATTTTAGTGTTCAAGGTAGGCACTTCCAAGGTATTCAAACTACTGAAGACTTAACCTAAAGAATTCTTAGTAGGACATTAGTTTGGTTTATTTCAGTTACTTACTGTTCTGTGTATTTAACAGACGACAAATCGATCCGGAATTTGCTGACATGATCAATGTACAAGATCACTGCAAAGTGGAAGAGGTTGATGAAGATAGTGTCTACAGTGTCTTTGTCTCGTACGTTGAAATCTATAATAACTACATATATGACCTCTTGGAGGAAATTCCCTATGATCCAATAAAACCAAAGTAAGTATTTTTAATGTGCTTTGAGCCCTGTCACCTGTTGAGATATTATGTATTGGGTTATCTGACAGTGCTGTGCACTAATACCCCTTTTTGGATTTGTGTCTAAGACCACAGTTTTGGATGCCTATGGAAGTGTATACAACATAGTGACATGGGCACAGAACTGTTGACCATGGAGTAGTTCACAACTGTGAGCCGTGGAGAAAACCAGCTTTGCCACTAATACTCTCTGTAAACATGCACATTTCTGCCTCGCTTGCCACCTGAAAAATAGGGGCAGTGACAAATCTCTGATGTGAGGTATTAGCTTGTCTAAATACTTAAGCAGCACTTAAACAAGTCATGGGTACCTTTGCTACTAAAAAGTAGCTCTTACTTCCTGACTATAATGGTATCCAGTTATTAATCTTTTTCTTATGTTTGGTACTGGCTTTTGGACTTCAAAACTTGCTCATGCACTCACTCTTGGCTGATGACCACAATTTACAGTCTACACAGCTCGTTACCAGCCTTTTTTAAACAACTCTTTTAAGGAAGTGAATATTACATTGGCCAAAATGTGATTTGCTTCCTAAAGTTGACTCCTACACCTTTTGGTTTTTCCAGTCAACTGTTTTGTTCCTTAAAAACTGGAGCAGACAGTGGGAGGTAGGGATGTGATAGGTTAAATGATAATTGTTTCACTGATAATCCCAGCAATAACCGGTTAGTTTATTTGTTATCCTTTAGGGTGGGACATGGCAGGGATGCAATGTGGCAGGGAAGTGGGGCGAAGGAAAACCTGAGTTTCCCCTAGGAGGAACCAGAAGACAGCAGGGAGAGTGGGGACTAGTACCCTTAGCTTATGATGTTAAAGAGAAAAACAGCAAGTGACCTAATGATTTGTCAAATAACCAGTTAACTGCTTGTTCATAGGTGCTCCCTCTCTCCCAGCCTTGGGTTTCACCTGGGCTGTGTTGTCTGGCCAGCTTGTTACTGGGTCCTTCCCCCCTCACCTCCCCATCCCCAAAGTGCGAGTGGCTCTCAGTAGCAGCTGTCCCCAAATTGCTGTGTTAACAGTTATCTGCTTAAATGATATGATTAGAGGAAGTTAAATAGATTTTTTTTTTTTTAAACAATATTTACATCTCTAACCGGAGGTGTCAGAATCAAAATTGTAGCTGCCAGAAATGGCCTCCAGACCACACGCCCCTGTCCTTTGCTAGAGGGTCTGGGATCCTTTGCATCTGCACACGTCTTTCTGAACCTTGTAATTTATCTCAAGTTTAACCTCAGATTCTTTCTCCTTTGTATTTGTCAGTAACTTTAAATCCACTTGAGGATCTGGCATATGTCTTAGTCTTTCATAAGTGGGTCAGATTTTTTAAAACTAATTTGCTGTCATCCATGACAGCCTGCTCTTGAGGTCTCTGGAGAGGGACCTCTTTAGAATCTTGCTCTTAATTGGGTTCAAATGCCTGTAGAACATGTGGAAGCTTTTAAAGGGAGTTAAATTTGCTTGGTTTAATTGCTTTTGTTTTTGTTATAAGATCATCCGCTCATTTGACTTGCACAAATTGGTCTTGGAAAGTTCTTACAATAGTCCCTCTTGTTTACTTTGCAACAATTAATGTTTGGAGATTCCTTCTTTATTTTTTTTTAAAAGAACAAAGGTTGCTGTGGACACCATAATGTTTTGTCCTGTTCCTTTGGTAGATGGAACAGCTGTAACACTCCCATGCGGAAGGGTGATAAGTGGAACAGTTGCAGCACTCCCATGCGGATCGATGACTTTATGTAGGTGCACAGCATGTCGTCCCTCCCTATTAAATAATTTCAGCATCTATTTTAGCAACAGTAGCAGAAAAAAAGAAACATGAACTGTATCACTTTTCCTTTGCTTTACTACCAAATACAGAATAGTGCTACTGAAACCTGTTTTGCTTCTATAAGTGTTCATGCATGTAGGAAAGCAGCAGTAGTCTTCCAGCCTCACAGTCCCTAATAAGAATTGCAATTAAACATGGCTTACGAACTGAAGCAAAGCAATAACTGAAGTGCAACTAATCCTGCCTGAGCACTTTGCCATGCATTCATGTTGACTCTTCCTTCTGTTGGTATGGGATTATGTCTGATGCCTTGTGTTCAGGTTGAATCTGGTTCTTAAAAGAATTTGCATGTCTCTTGCTTCAAATGCATTGTCTGTAGATTTGATCACAACAATACTCTTTCCAGACCACCACAATCCAGAGTACTCCGTGAGGACCAGAATCACAACATGTATGTTATAGGATGCACAGAAGTGGAGGTAAAATCTACTGATGAAGCTTTTGAGGTTTTTTGGAGAGGTAAGATTGTAAGACAGTAATTCTATTTTACAATTGTATGCATCTATTCATAGTAGAAATCCATATATCATAAAAACCTGAATTGGCCGTCACAGATTTGGCCCTTGAATAAAAAGTATGCCTTATTTAACAGGTCAGAAGAGAAGGCGGATCGCAAACACCCAGCTGAATCGTGAATCCAGTCGTTCTCATAGTGTGTTCATGATTAAACTGGCTCAGGCCCCCCTGGATGCAGATGGAGATAATGTTCTACAGGTGAAATGCAAAGGCTAGTTATTTAAATAAGCATGAAATTCTCATGTAGAGGCTCACAGAATGACCTGTCTGTGGTCCTATCTGAAGCATTGCAGTTGAGACTTCTTAGATGCCCCCCTACAAGTTAACTGTTTGATAAATGCCTTCAATTAAATTTTTTTGTTATAAAAATGGTGGGGAAAACACTGTTACATTAGAATACCAAAGCAGTAAGCCAAACTTGTTCTCTTGTTTCTTGCTTTGCTTCCCCTTTAAGCCAAAACTGAAGTATGTGGAACTTTGGAGAGCCTTTGTGAAGCTGCCAAACTTGTACACTAAGATGGAAAAGACCTGAAAAGCTAGTGCGCTAAACATTAATGGCACATAGCATCTTGCATTAATAATTAACGACCTGCTCGAATTTTCTTTCAAAACTAAATTGCTAGAATTTGCAAGGTTCTAAAGCGCGTGTGTTTTTTATTCCACGCCCCTCAAATAGTAGAGCAACTGTTAATGGCAGTAACCTAACATAATTTTCCTTTCTGTTATAGGAAAAAGAGCAAATCACATTAAGTCAGCTGTCCTTGGTTGACCTAGCTGGAAGTGAAAGAACTAATAGGACCAAAGCAGAGGGAAGTAGATTACGAGAAGCAGGTATGTATTCAGGTTGGATCATCTGTTTATGTGTTTAGTGTGTATAATTGAGTGTGGACTAAATACCTAGTCATGGGGTGATCTTTCTTATTAAAGATAACCCTGAAAAAACCTGATGGGCTGTGTCTTGTGTTCTGTTGATCCATAATTGTCCCCTTTGCCTGGAAAGATGAACACTCATTGTACTGTTTAGCATATTTTCGTGCATATAGCTCGCACCCATGTAAAACCCACGGAAAATTGTATTTTCGTAAATAGTTTGTGTATTCCCCGCACCCATGTATTCCCCGCTGGAGCTGGGGCTCGCTGCAGATTCTCACCGCCCACCTGCAGCCTCCCCACAAGACATGGCCACAAGCATGGGCTCTGCTGGGCATGGCGCCAACTAAAAGTGGTGCCAAGATAATCCCGGTGGGGATGGGCTATGCTGTTCTAAAGACTCTGCATAGCCCGCACCCTTGTATAGTCCTCACTCACCTGTCAAGTTTGTAAAAACGTGTATAGCCTGCAGGCTATATGCGCGAAAATACGGTACTTTAAGCTCATAAATAAAAAAGCATATGCTTCTGCTTCAGTCAGTACAACTGCCCCACAATGAATGATGACTGAGGACTAAACTGGCTGCTGAATTTAATGATAGACCTATACCCAACTGATTTATTTAACAATTTCTTTCTGTCATACCTCTGTTTCTTTCAGGGAACATCAACCAGTCACTAATGACTTTGAGAACATGTATCGAAGTTCTGCGGGAGAACCAAATGTATGGCACCTATAAGGTAACCAACAGATTTGTCATCTTATTGGCTTTTATTAACATGTCAAGGTTTTGCTTGTGGTGGGATTTCTTAGATTCTTTTTGTCTTTTCAGATGGTCCCTTATAGAGACTCCAAACTAACTCATCTGTTCAAGAACTACTTTGATGGCGAAGGAAAAGTGCGTATGATTGTGTGTGTTAACCCCAAGGCTGAAGACTATGAAGAAAGCTTGGTAACTGGCACATGACTCATTCTTCCTCAGCCCCAGTACTTTCTTGCAGGGCCTTAGTGCATTCACAAACCAGGGGAAATGCAGTGCTATTTTATGCTTCACCTTGAAGAACAAAACAGAAGCTTTATAGCAGGGATGGGCAATTTTTTGGGCCTAAGAGCCACATGGGAAATCTTGATGAGCTGTTGCAGG